CCTTTGGAAAAATTTTAAGCAGAAGCTGGATGGCCATCTGTCAGGAGTGCTTTGATGGTGTCTTCCTGCATGGCAGGGTTGGACTGGTGGATGACCCTGGTGGTCTCTTCCGGTTCTATGACTCTCCTGCCCCTCTAAAGGTATTCCAGGAGCTCCTGGAGAGATGCTGCTTTTCCGCTAGCATTTGCTGGTTCGTTTGTGTTTTTTGGAAGCCATTTGTTACAGAAGGCTGCCTGAGCATTTCCCTTGGCTCTTGGGAAAACTCTGTCAAAACAGAGACTCAGATCAGCACAAACGTGCTCTGCTTGTTCTCAAAAGGCAACTCTGGGGAGGTGTTGCGCTCATCCCTGATCACCATCCCACAGCTATGAGGCCGCCTTTTGTGGCCATGATTGAATTCTCTGCACTGGCTGTTCGAATGATGCACCCCATTCTCTCAGGGGAGCCTTCTGAGAGGATCCGAAGAGTCACAATTTAACACTAGCTGGGATGTGTCAACTCCTATACAAGTCCTTTGGCAATCAGGTCTGCAAGCTGTGATGATTTTGCAACAATGCATCTTGATTTCTGTGTGTGCGTCTTGAAGGACTGGGAGTCAAGAACTACATCCATCAGTCTTTTCTGGAAAAAAGTTTGTTTATTTTTTAAAAAAAATATTTTAAACACACTTGAGGATTGTCTGAAGGAGTATTCCTACTGTTTATTTTCGCTCACAGAGAGAGCCCAGGAGAAAAGGGGTTTCCCAAAATACAAATGCTTTTGGAGTTCAAGTGGAATGGAGAAATGATCCTCTATGCATCTGTATGGTATCTCTTGTTAGCTCACCTCACAGGATTGCTTAGGGAGGTAGAATAGCACTGATATATGCATTTATAGATTTTTTTTTTCAGGGTGATAATTTAACAATTTTGGGTCAAAACCAATGCAAGACTGATAGAGCTGTGAGAGTGGAGAGAGACTGTGTTTTCATGTATAGAAGAAACATGTTTGTGTTTGCATTGGCTCATTTTCTTTTTCCACTACAGATGTGAGATCCATAGCTGTTTGGGCCACCTGTGACAGCATAATCCTAGCTCTCTAATCCCCATAGTTAGAAGACTTCACTAAGGATGATAGGGATTCTTGACCTGAGCAGCATATTCCTTCTTCCATGCCATGCCATCAGGGCTCATCTTCCTTGTCAAACCATCTGATATAAATGCCCAGTTTCCTGTTCACTCCCCAACTCTCACTAGAATCTATTAGGAAAATTATCAGATTTTCCACTCGACACACAACATTTTTTTTTAAAAAAAAGATGCAATAAAGAATAGTTCTTTTGAACTGAAAACAAGATCAACAATGTGCAACTGTATAAATAATATGAAGTGTTCTGTTTAAACATATTTATCTCTGTGTGCACATTTTATTCCAGTTGCAGACTGATGGCTTTCCTTTAGGGGAATTCCCATCCTTTCTCCTAAAAATGTCAATTCTCACCATTGCCTTTTAAAAAAAAGTACATGTGACACAGCTATCCATTCCTTACTACGGTATTCATGGTCTTATCAATTCTCAGTACTTTATCACTTTAAAGTGCTGTGGAGTGCAATGGAAAGACATTGAAAGATTCCAAAAGTGGAGTGGCTCCATCTAAAACAGAGATGGGCAATCGCTGGTGGTTTAGGGACCAATTTCTCTATATCCAGCATCCACTGGGGGCTGCACCAAGCCCCCTCCATGTGAAAACACAGGAAAAACAAAACACAACTGAAAACAGACATAAATCTGCTTCTGGAATTGTAAAAAATACAATTAAAAAAACCTTTAAATTTCTAGATCAAGGGAAGTTAATAGTGCCACTCTATTCTGCTTTGGTCAAGCCCCACCTGAAATACTGGGTCCAGTTCTGGGCACCACAATGCAAGGATGATATTGACAAGCTGGATTGTGTGTCCAGAGGAGGGTGACCAAAAGGATGGAAGGTCTGAAACCATGACCTCTGAGGCATGGCTTAGGAAGCTAGGGATGTTTAGACTGGAGAAGAGAAAGTTAAGAGGTGATACGATAGCCTTGTTTAAATATCTGAAGATATGACATATTGAGAATGGAGCAAGCTTATTTTCTGCTGCTCAAGAGATTAGGGCATGGGACAATGGATTCAAACTACAGGAAAAGAGATTTCATCTCAACATTAGGAAGCGTTTTCTGATGGTAAGAGCTGTTTGACAGTGGAATACGCTGCCTTGGAATATAGTGGAATCTCTTCCTTTGGAGGTTTTTAAACAGAGGCTAGATAGCCATCAGTTGGGAGTGCTTTGATTGTGTATTCCTGCATGGCATGGGGTTGGACTGGATGGCCCTTGGGATCTTTTCCACCTGCATGGTTCTTTTGTTCTTTTTGCTGGGAAGATAAAGATACAGAACTTATTTTTGCAGCAGAACGGTGTGGGGGGGGGTGCTGAATGGGGTTTGGGGGGATGAAAGCAACATTGGGGAATGTATATGGCCCACAGACCACAGATTTCCCACCCTAATTTAAAAAAATTCAGATGACTCATCTATTTTCTTTTACTTGCAGATGAAGAGGCAGCCATCAATTCTATTATGAAGGACCTTGCTGCCCTGGGCAAATGTGGGGGTCTCTTGGACAGCAACAGGAACAAAAACCATGTCCATTCTAACAAACAGGTGAGTGGTGCCTCTAGGAATCCCCTTCTGCAGTGCATCAAGATTCAACTAAATATTGTTGAAAAGTGCTTGCTTCTGAATTATTGCTTTGGAATTACAGTGGAAGAAGCATAATATTCACTGAAATTTATTAATGACCCCAATGCATAGGATGCGCACTGCCCTTTCCCCGTAGTGTGATAACTTAGTGCTTTACAGACTGCCAGAAATAGTGCAAATTGAGGCCACTTTAACTGTTCTGGCTCAGTGCTAGGGAATCATGGGAACTGTAGTTTATTGTGGCACCAGAGCTCTCTGGCAGAGAAGGCTCAATGTCCCAGAAAAAAAAAATACAATTCCCATGATTCCCTAGCACTGAGCCAGGACAGTTAAAGGGGACTCAATTTGCACTATTTCTGGCAGTCTGTAAAGGCCATTAGTTTATTTGCTCAAGTCATGTGTTTGGGGGCAAAAGTATTTCTGGTGGATGGGATAAAAATGTTTTTAGACTTGGCATGGGAACAGATACTATTTTGACAAACCATACTGCTCTTTGCCATGATAATATAATCTAATGGAGGGAAGTGCTTGCAAGGACAAATCAATAGGAAGAGTGTACATACTAATTCTTGCATTTGCAGATTTTCCTTTCCACGTGCTTCCTCTCTTCTCCTCCAACTAGTCTTAATTACTGTTTAAGAGTTGGATGGAAGTAAGGGAGTCTTTTAGGGGAGAAGTAGCAGGGAGACAGAGGTGTATGCATTCTTATTTGATGTTTCTGTGCTCCATAACAGCTGACTTGGTTCTAAGGGAGATCAATAAGGTGTTGGATTGTGTATCTATTGTCAAAGCAAGATTCATTATGGAGTAGTGAAGGAAAGGTATGGCATATCAAGTAAACCCAATCCTTCTTTTCATTGCACTTTAGTGATGCTTACCTGCTGATCAGTGCTCAAACACATCCTTCCATGTCCACATGCATCCTTCATTTTGGGTGAAACATGATCTCCCAGATTGAATCTGACATTCCACCAACTTGTACTCTAAATGATCTAAGCTACAAATGCCTAGTGGAGTGTTCTCTCTAGGAATCTCTGGGTCCTTCAGTGCGACTTTTTGACCATAATTTAACCATAGAGTTGAGCTGGAAGACCTAGATATTCCTAGACAGAACACAGTAATAAAATCTGCTAATAATAAAATCCTCAAAAGTCAAAGCTGCAGATGTAGAAGGACGAGGTTATGTGATTCTTTGACTGCGTACTCTGAGTTTAATTATATATTGCAACCATTTGTTCAGGGAATGCTGCATGAGATCATGATTCACCTCATTCAGAGAGGCTTTATTATTTTTCTGATTTATCCAACATTTCCCCTAATCAAAACCAGCTGATATTTAGTAAATATTATGCAGAGGTTTGCTAGATATTCTCTCTGTGTGTGAGTGTGTGTGCATGCATTGGGCACACACATACAGGCAACTACATGTACATAAAAATAGCAGTCATCATATTCACACACACACCCAAGGCAGTGAGTCTGTCTCTTTCTTGGTTTTGTTTTGTAAAAGATTGATATATTTAGCAGTAATTGAAATGCCAATATAGACATTAGGTTTGCTCCTTTTCTTATTCTTAGAGATGGTTTCATGGAAGATGGATGCCCCAATAGCTAGTAATCCTGATGATTATATGGAACCTCCATATCTAGAAATGCAGAGTTGCTTTTCAATCTCTTTTGTGATGTGGCAACAGCAGGGAAGAGGGCTTCTCAAAGCCATTTGCTTGGTAGTCATTAACATACGAAATAAGATGTTGGGATAGGCTGCCCACCTTTTATTTTCATTTTAAAAAAGATTGTACTTTTGTACTTGTACTTTTGTTCAGTGCGGAACTTGGAAAAGTCATTTGACTAAAATCAAATTTTAGTACCAAATATAATAGTGAATCAGTGGGGATTTGAATAAGTACTGATTTACCCATTCACATTGATTCAATGGGTGTACTTCAATTGGGATAAACAATTTGATTTAGGCCTTGGATTACAATTCCCAGAAACCCCTAGCCACCATTGCACTTCAGAAAAAAACAGCATATTTATGAATTATTCATCCTCCCAAAATCATCTGCTTATGAGTTAGCACAGTTTTTTAGAAAAAAAAATCAGTTAAGTTTTAACTTAAACTGTTAAGTTTTCAGGGTTTTCTTCTTTTTTTTTTTTTTAAATCAATTTCCAACCAGTTAAACTGTTAAATGTTGCAGCTGTATGAAAAAAATATGAAGATTTGGGACATGTGAAGAACTGAGACTAACAGTGCATATGAATGATTACTGAGAAGTAAACCTCATGGAGCCAGGGTGGTGTAGTGGTTTGAGCATTGGACTACAACTCTAGAGACCAGGGTTCAATTCCCCACTTGGCCATGAAAAGCCACTGGGCAAGCTTGGGCAAGTCACACACTCTCAGCCCCAGAACACCCCATGATTGTTTCACCTTAGCATCAGAAACGATTTGAAGGCACACAACAATGACAACAAAGCTCCATGTAAATGTGTGTAGGATTGCCTCCAAATTTGCCGCCTCCTTTTTCCAACAGTGAAAAGGTTAGGACTGGAACCTCTTCCTCCTTTGCTTCTATCTGCCTGGTTTATTGGGCACCTGTCCTCCTTCTCATCCCTTTATGTTGTCGAAGTTAATAGAAATATAGAATCATAGAGTTGGAAGAGACCTCAAGGGCCATCCAGTCCAACCCCCTGCCATGCAGGAACTTACAACTGAAGCACTCCCTGTGACAGATGGCCATCCAGCTTCTGTTTAAAGACCTCTAAAGAAGGAGATGCCACCACTTTCTGAGGGATTGCGTTCCACTGTCGAACAGCCCTTACTGTCAGGAAGTTCCTCCTAAT